GCCCCCCAACACCACCCCCGCCGGAGCCGCCCAGACCCCCACACACCAGCGGCGCACCGCCAGCAGGACCACCACCCAACGGGCCCACCCGCCCACTGAGAAAACAGACATGCCAATCCCCCCCAAAGAAAAATCGCCAAGCAAAAAGGCCCCCACAATGCAACAGTGAACACAAGACACCGACCCGCCCACAACCGCTCCCCCCCACCGAAAAAAAAAATTCCCCCATGCAAGAGGAAAAATGCAAATGGAAAAACCAGAGCCCAAAACACAACCCAAGACCTGCACCTCAACACAATGTCCAGCTCTCCTCCTCCCCGAACCGATACCACAAAACCAGCATTGAAAAAAAGCATAGGCAGGAACCGGCATCGAAGTGAAGGCACCGGCACCAAAAATCCCCGAACAACACCCAGCCCCACCACGAAGTGAATCCGGTCCCGGGATCCGAGGCCCCAGGGGCACCCGACCCCCAGCCAGGAGCCCCAGCAAGACCCCGGCAGGCCGGGGCCCGCGGAGAGGCCACCAGGAAAGAGCTGGTAGCCACTCGGGCATCCACCCCCAGACCCCGAGCTCCACCAGTGCACCGGTGAGCCCCGACGCCAGCCAGCGGAGGGAGAGCAGGATGGGGGGAATGGGCTTCGCACTAAGCGGAGACTTGAGATGTATTTGGGAGAGGGGGCCGTTTAGACCCCAACCTGGGAGAGAAAAAAAAAAAACACAATCACGCCTTCCCTCCCTAGTGCCCCCACTCGCACCACAGAAAAAAAAAAAAAAACGAGGACACACATTCACACATAACACTCACATCCAATAATACCAGGACCAAAGACCCGGCGGCACCGGTGGTTGGTCCTGGATGACCCAATAAGTGAACCTAAAATCCGGATAGGGGGAAGGGGAGCGGCAACACCGCCACACCAACCCATCTCATTCCTGCTTCGAGCCCAGCCTCCCACCCCGCACACGGACCGGACCACCCCTAGCAAGAGCTCCCCCAGGGAGCGGGGCCCACCCATCCCGCGCAGGCCACCCAACCAGAAGCACCCCCCCCCCAAAGAAAAAAACTACTGCCACCAGGCACTTCATGCAACTCCTTCCAACCTTCTTTGGGGA